CGCCAGGCCGATCCCTGGTAACATTCCATTGGTTCTGCTGTCCGTCTTCTACTACCCCGTCGTTTATGACTTCCTGTACCAGCCCACTAAGCACCTTTATAACTGCTCTCACTTTTTCAAATTCCACCGATGATGGGTTACGTCCCAAGGATGCCTTCATCAGAGGCAGAGCATTTACACATATGAATCGATGGGAGTTATCAAGCATTCCGAAGACTCTTTCGAACGTGAGGATCTTCAGCATCCGAACTGCCGAACGCCTGACAACCATCCGAACAATCCCGGCAATCGTACTGCTGTTAGAGAACGTACGGATTTTGCTAGTCTGGTTGTTTAGTATTTCGCGAGCACGAAAGTCAACTTTCAAAGGCTTCTTTTGACCCCACTTCTCTTCTTGGTCATCTTCGTCGCCCTCGCTTCTATCCTCGTCATCCCATTCCTCCTCCTCCTCCTGATCTATGTTCCCATCCCGGGAGAGTTGCCAGTCATTATTCCTGAAGGTGATTGTAAAGCAATCTTTCCCGTACGCATGGAGCAGTCTTGGTGGTTTGTGGAGGCTCCCTGTAAAAAGGGTTAATGTTCCAATACATTTGACCTCTCAACGACTTAATCAACATGTTTCATTAAAAAATGTAGATTCTTAACTGTGGAGCATATACATGTGTGTCAAAGGTAAGTTAGGTGCCAGTGACTCTTAATGTGCAAATAGGAATTCTATAAAAGTGTTCATCTGTCAAGGATGGCGGGTAAATCACGGATTTTTCCATTTGAAGTAAAGTGAAGGTGAACTCTTCATAAGCAAAAAAAAGGTGAAGAGACGTAAACATGTGAACATCGAGAAAATAAATGAGTACGTATAAAACATGACCGAAAAAGTAAAGAAAAGAATTCTGATGATTGAACAATTCAGTGATTGCTTACAACAATCTTAATCATCAGACAGTTAATGACGAAAGTCAGTGAAATTTGAAGGCAATGAGAGAGCTTAGTCACGATCTAGTTATTACCTGTGCCAATAAACGTAGAGATCAAGATATGAATATAAATTATGCTTAAAAACAAAATGTGCAAAAATAATACTCAACATCATCAAAATTCGCACTCTGTTGGTAAACTTTCAGATTACAGCTGTAGATACTATGCAAGAGTTCATATCCATGTGCACAAAATTAATGTCCTGGTGAATCTCGTTTAACAAGAAATACCCCGGAACAAAAGAGATGCTTACACTGCCGCATGCATGTACGTACTTGTGAGAACAAAGTTGTATAGAGTGCTACTCTTTGGTTGATGAAATCGCGTAGTTTTAATGTGCTCAGATTAAGTTCCTCGGAGAGGACTTAAATCCGTCTTCCCCTGGTTGCTTCCATACAAGCATACACATGCTTCATGAGCAGTCAGGCAAAACAAACACACAAACGGTGTTATTTAGGCAAAGTGGAGGATGGGTGTGGAGTTCATGTGCGCAAAATTAGATCTCAAAAGGAGGCCTATGAAAAAATTAGAATACGAACCATACATGCATCTATCGATTAAAGTGAAATGAATCGAGTGTCCAGGTGTGAACAACTTTTCTGATGGTGCGAAAAATTTAACTTCAGTAGTGCCTTCCAATGGTGAATTCACATTCAAATGAAACATGCTTAAGTGGCCACCTGTATATAGAGACCACATTTTACGTTTCCCTTGACAACCGTTCCTCGTAGAAACGGAACCTATACATAAAGTTTAATTGCCTATAAAGACCAATTTTCATGTCATCCTTGAGTGGTCTACAAAATAGGTTTAACTGCATGCAACGATTCGAAGTGATCATCAAAATGACGATGACGCTTGGTTTAAGATCCAAATACTCAAGCTTTCCAATGATATTCGCGACTTCGAACCTCGGACTTCAAAGGTAACAGCACACCTGTAGATTATGTTGTATTAAATTACAAAACGGCAGTTGCTTGGAATAATTAGTTGCCAGTTGGGTCTCCAGCTCTTAAAACTCCTTGATCAAAGTAAGGACTTAAAGGGCCACTCTAAACCAACTAACATAGCCTTTCAAAACATGAATACACCTCTACATATTAATTTTCCAGCCCCTAATTTTTCAGAAAATCTCTAAATTGACAGAAACATGATAATGACCATCCATTTTTCACAGATTTCACGCTTTCTGGGCTACAAAAAAAAGTAATACGGTCACGTGGCTTGATGACGCATTTGACGGTCATTACGGACATGTCCGATTCGTCCTACAACTAAGGATCTTACAATCTTATTGTAATTCATGAATGAAACGTACTGGGATTATCAAGTACATATTTTTTTTCCGGATACATGGCTTTGTTTTCAATTACTATCATAGTTTGCCTTTTTAAAGACATTTTAATGCCTAAATCATCCTCCTTTTCACATAGAAGTATCATGCAGTGACGTCATATGCTGTTGCGCAATACAGCTCCGAAACTGGATCTCTGAGAAAAATCGTTGCCATATTCGGAATCTCCGTCAAAAATAATTGTACATGTCCTTTTTTCATTTTTTTTTTTTAGCCCGTTTTGGTTAGATTGGCCTTTTAATAGGGTCTATAGTCAACCCTTTCATCTCTTCATAGTGACTAAATCTGTAATTTTATCATTCAACTGAGTAAGATGTCTTTAATTAAGGAACTTTACATAACTATCTTGATCTAAGGAGACACGAACGAACTCAGAAAGAGATATGTGTAGTCGAACCTGACTGCAAATGCTGCTTGACTACAGTGGTCACTTTAGAAGAATGGTATTTCAGTTGTTCGTATATGCACTATCCGAAAAATCCGTGGTTATTATTATTGATTGTAATTGATATTGATATCAATGTTAATAAGATTTAATAGCCTGGGGGGTGTTTCACAAAGATTCTAAGTTGAACTTATCTCTAAGTTGGACTTAAAAATTATGGAAAGCCATTAGCACCTTTGAAAATATTTTGTTAAAGTTATTTTGAAAGGCATAAAATGTTGATTCAAATCATTCATATTTTTTATCATCAAGAAGATTTCATGTTCTTGATGTGGAATTTATAAAAAAAAGTCTAAAATACTTGAATTTCTGCTTATGAATATATTACATTTTAAGGCTCCAATGGCTGTCCATAATTTTTAAGTCCAACTTAGTGTTAAGTTCTACTTAGGATCGTTGTGAAACACCCCCCTGGTCTTTCACCATACGAAGTTTACATCTGATGTTAACACCAGATTGTTATTTTTTATGATTGCAGGTTAAGGGGTTTAGGTAAGAAACTGCTAAAACGTATTGAAAGATTTATGTAGATGGAGTGAATAGTCAAGAAGCCTTAACAAAATTAACAATTTAATGGCTTGGGAAAATGTACCACCGGTTTGCACTGCATCAGTATGTTCTGAAGTAAAAAAAAAAAAAAAAAAAAAAAAAAAGAGCTACACATTATTTCCTTCCACCTTTCTTCCTTTACCCACTTACTTTCTTATCGTCATGTTCTTCTTGAATGTTTAAAAGTGAACAGCTGGTGTAACGATGGGAATACGAAATGAGACGGATATTAAATTCAAATTAATGACAAAACGTGATTCAAGAAAAATTGAAAAGATGCCCGATTCGTTTATAGTGAACGTGTTAATGAGAACAAATGAGGAATATGACAAGAAAAAAAGATGGTAACATAAATATAATATCGTAAAAGAAACAAAGTGATCATCAGTAAACGTCCCCACCCGCCTTAAAATAAAGAGAAGAAGATTTATCATGAAATATTTACAATGCATAATGCATTACAATTTAGCAGCTCTGATGAGAAAATGACATTGTTCCTTGTGCAATTTGGGAATAAGGGTAGTTGTAATACTTGGCTCGCCATTTCGATCCCACTCTCTCTTGTTCTCTTTCTTATAATCATGTTGTCTTCGACATAAAAAGGGAAGAAATTACTAAATCAATATGATGTACGATGAGTGATGAAAGAAACTAAATATATGTAAACATTAAAGAGCACCAGACAACAGACGATTGAACTAGAATGAAATGAGATTTCATATGAATGGGAACAATTACAATTTGGGTTTACCCAGGGAAATCCCAATGCTGTTCTGATTGCACAAGCTATTTTCACGTACCCATTAAACACATGGGTGGGGAGTGGCAAGAGTAAATTAATGACTTGCCAACAGGACGTTAATGCCGGGCTGGAATTCGAACCGTAATCCCGAAGAAATTGGAAATCAAGTAAATGAGCCACTATACCACGGTTCCTCCAATCTCTCTTTCTTTCTCCCTCTTATCATCCTTTCTCTCTCTCTCTCTCTCTATTCCCCCTTGTTTCCCTTCAGTTTAGCGTGTGCACGTGTTAACAACTACTATTTGAAAACATGAAATAATAAATGAAGAGAAAAATCAACTGATCATAAAATTAGACAAAATGTAAAATATTTTGGAACAGACTGAGCAATTAATAATGTGAAGTTAAAAAATAAAAAGGGTATTTTGAGTGCTAGCTGAAAACATTTGTGTGCGTTAAAATTGCAATTTATGACTTTGAATACAAATGTTAAAAAGAAAATATTAATGTTTAAATTAATTTTGACGCATGAAATCTCTGATAGTTTAATTTTACTTATCTATTAATAATATTTCGAATTTTAGTTGGTCAGTAATTTGGTTGGTTAATTATTCATTGTCTCGTTCGGTAATTTTATCAGGGTTTAGAAGTACATTTTCAAAGATGAGAACCATAAATTATTTTAACTCATTAAACCAGTGTATATTCATGATATATCTGCTTTACTATTTCTATCCTTTGCTGTTAGGAAAATAAACATGCCATTGTTTACAAACACAAAGAAAATGTATTTTCACTCCAGTCACACCGACGAGACAACCACCTAACCAATAAGAGACTGATCAAACAATGTTGCTGCCTTAATATTTCTGTTATCAGTTCTTTTAGAGCTGGTTGGGCGTGGTAAGAGGGTTATGACAATTGTTAGGCCTTACCTGTCAATTGATCCTTGGCTGGGCCTTCAGCCAACTTGTCAACTCCGTCTTTGATCCCATCATACACTTCTCCGATGGTGTCGTCAAGTTCCGAGAGAAGCATCCGAAGATTTCTGGTGGCAGCATCCGTAGGACATATGTGGCAGGCTGTGGTGGCGCCCTCGCTAGCTGACTGCCCCGGTGCGCACTTCGCATCAAAGTATGTTCCATTGGACAAGAATCCTGCCCTTCCCCAGCTGTCAATCATGTGAGCCATCTTCATGAGGACCACGTAGAAGCTACCCTCGATGCCACCTTCTCCTCTCCACCTACCCTTAGCAAGACGTCCGGTGATGTTACGGATTCGGGTCATGATATCTCCATCCCCTTGCAGAGGGTTTCCTGTTTGAGTTTCAGTGTGACCAGAACTCTCGCCACGACTACCGAATAAACCACCCGTGGAGTTGCGGTGTCGAGAGGCATTCAGTTGGCGGTTCAAACTTCTGAACTCGTTCCAGAGTTCCTTGAAGTCTTCCTCACCATCAGTCACATTGGACAGATGCTTGGCTCGCTTGTTGATGAATTTCGTGACATCACGGGCGCACGAGGCACTTTTGTTGACATGCTGAGACATTAGCTTGAATAAGTAACCTTCAAGATTGAATTTCTTCAGGACCTCCTCATCATCGCGAAGTTCAGGGTCATCGTCATCAAACCAATCTGCAGATTCGAAGATTTCCAACAAAACGTCATACTCGTCTTCTTCCATCGTCATGCCTGTCATGTCACCTTCTTCACCCATGGCATCTTCTGTATGTCCTGCCTCTCTGTTAAGTCCTGAACCCTCACCCCGGTTCGTTGCGTTTTTCGACTGGCTTGGGTCTAGGTCACTAAGCGCATCAACATGTCGAAGTTTGTTAATGTATACAGAAAGATGTGGTATTTCTTTACCTCGAAGCTTGCGTGGCGACAGGAACAAACCGATGACAGCCTTCCTGATGAACAATCTGACTGCAGCTCTGTTTTTCTGTTGAACGGACAATGCCTCATTTGGCTTCCCACCAGTTACAGTCCCAGGTTCTCCACCCTTTCTTTCTTCTTCACCACCACCTGCTCCTTCTTCCATAGCATCATCTACCATAGCATCTATCTCCGCAGATATTTCGTCATCAAACTCTTCCAGTTCATCGTCTGTGATGTTGCGCTGCAAGGCATGACGTAGGAGCTGCTTCCCGTTCCGGCAGGTGTATCCGTAGAGGGCGTTCACATGGCCAAAGACTCTTGCAAAGGATTTGATCTTCAGTAACATCAAAGATGACCGACTTGCAACAAGTCTCATGAAATGCGTCAGGTTGAGATTGGGGTTGTCATTCTGGATCCGCTGGGTCTCGTTGTTCAGTCTCTGCAGAAGTTTCCTGACCAGGAGCGCCGTCTCCCCTTGATCCTGTTGACCCTCGTCTCCGTCCCAGCTCCAGTCGTTGTTTCTCAAGGAGATGTTCATGCAGTCCCCACCTAGGACGCCCTCTGGCTCTGGCAACTCCTCAGTGACATCAGGCAGCGATACTTCCACAACTCCCCCTCCAACATCTACCCCTAATGCAGGTAAAGCCAGGACCAGTGCAAGGAATGCAACAAGGAACTGCCACCTCCCCGACATCGGTGTTTGTATTTGGTACATGGTTGTTACGAGATCTCACTCGTATATAAGGCACGTCGGTTAAAGTTTGCAAAATATATTTTACATACAGAATCAGTCTGCTACAGATATGTCGATATTATAGTATATAGTTTCCTACATTGCGTTAGATATCAACTATTTCAACAGTTGCGAGGAAATAATAATCCATTCTACGTACAAAAAGGACCACTTGTTGAAAAGATGGGAGCTAGCGGAACTGCATACGATGAATGTCTGGCGAGGCAATCACTGGTTGTGATGCCTTAATAACTCGCTTAACAGTATGATTGTTTTGATCCAATAAAAGTGACTTTCAAATTTTAACACGAAATGAAATCAATAACCTCCTCGTCTCAGCTGTTCGTTCTGCAAATAAGGCAGGATCGCTCGCGACTTCCCGGTACGGTGGGGAACGACAAGTAATCGATTATTAATGAACGTTGAGTCAGAGTCACAAAAATGCACCAATCAATTGCGATTGGTCGCACACACAGAAAGGCGTATTGTATGTGTTGTGCAAGAACAGGTGGTTTTAGGAGAGAGTGGTCAGGTTAGGATCGGTGTGTTGCACGACGGGAAAGTCAGCGTGTGGGACCGAAAGGCAGATTTTACCTCTGAAACTGATGGATGAATAGGCAGTCTGTAAGAGGAATAGATAAGAAAATTTCAAGAAATTATGAAATGGCATGTCTAATATTGTGCAGTATTCTCAAAATTTCTTTTTTCATCAACAAACATATTATCCTTGATGTTTTATTGATGTTGTTTAGGATTCTGTGATTATGTTAGATCCTAATGAAAATGTTAAATGAAAAGCAATGTAAAACTGGACATATCATTAATTCTGATAATAATGCTACAAATAATAAGTGTACAAAATAAGAAGTAGAAGGATAAATAACAGTTATATTCAATTAACGATAATAATGGTAATGATGGTAAAAAAATCACGATGCTTATAGTAATAGTATTAACATATCTTATTATGATTTAGATGTCGGGTGAATTACTCATATTATAATAAGTATTATTATTTATTAGCAGTAGTAATATAATTAAACGATCATTACTGTTGTCATTATCATCATTCTTAAAGTTTCGTTGCTGTTTTTGTTATCACTATTATTATTACTAATTAGTTATCATCGCATCATTTTTTATCTTTACTATACTTCTATAGCAGTTTTATGCACGGTTTCTCTATATTAAGAGATTATGAAAAGAATGAAGATAATATTTGTACGGATTGGAAAAACCCCAGAAACGCAATGAGTAATTGATGAATATCTGCTCTTGACTGCACAAGATGTGTGTTTTTTAAGTTCAGTTACAGGCAGGCACATTTCACTTAAATATCAAATTATTTGTATTTCATTAGAATTTTTTGAAGGATGACAAAAAGGTGTTCTTTTTATATAAAAATATTCAGCAAAATTACATTACAATGAATTTTTTTGTGTGTTGGTTACTTTCCAATCAGTTGTATGTAAACATATGAACATGAATCAATGGGGGATAAATTGATCAAGATATGCTCATGAAATACTTAGAAACTCGCATTAACTATAAACCCATTACAATTAAATTATTGACAAATCATTTCATTGTTATTTGAATGCATTAATATACAATTATTATGCCCGAGCTCATTATAAGTCGAAACGGCAAGCAAATAGACAATTGGACGTTAGGCCAATACAATCGCTCAACATCGCAGAGAAAATTTGTTGTCATAGCTACGCCCGACGCCGTAGCATCTACGGGCAGATGGTTGATACACAATAGCCTTGCTTACAGTCAACCACAATTTTTGATAAATTGACATATTTTGATGTTGATAATGTGCTCATCTTATATCTACATTGGAATTGTAATGTGTTGGGTCTTAATTATGTATCTAAATACAACGAATGATCAAAGCTTAACAAATAAGCTACTTAGTTTTTAAATTCGAGGCCAAACAAAAACAGGCGCAAAGTAAAACGCGTCTCACAACTTAAAGGGATCCGGTAACTTTGTCTCGGATTCTGAAACAAAATTCTGGATTTAGCTCATGATGCAATGATAATTATAAACCTTTAGGTCAGTCAGGAACCCCATGACTTTTACAAGCCGATCGCCTGTCTGATTATCAAGATATTTATGATTGGAATTACAAATTTTGAAAACCGTTCGCCTGACGGTTTTCATAACACTACAGTCTATTGGGGAAAACTAGTATGGTAAAACCGGTCACTCAAAGATATTTACTTTTTTGAGGCACTTCTTGATCATTTTGAAGCGCAATTTTTTTAGGGCTTCAATATTACACCATATCACAGACACTGATAACACGTAGGGCCGTGTATCTCAGATTTAACATTGTTAAACGATCCCTTTAAATAGGCTTGCACATCTTTGGGGCTCACTTTGCGCATTCAACATGCGCTTCCGCTTGCCCTCTATCGACATAATTATCATGAAGCTTTGAGCATTGGCCCACCCTAACTCCGTCAGTCTTTGGCTGTGTCAAATGACAGCTATAATACACGGCCTATAGAGTGCCCTCTACCATTCAATGATCATAGTCTTAACATTGCAGCACTGTCACGCATTACTAAGTTTGTGTTGGAAGATTTTACCTCATGCACATTGTATTAGGCTTCGGAGTCTGAAAACAGACTATACAATGGATCATCCTCATCTCCTCAATGTTTAGAAGTACTATAATAGGCCTCGTCATCGCCATCATTGACATTATCGAGGTCATTACAAATTGATTACATTCCCCAGGGAGAATGATAATCAACCATCATATCATGTCGAATTTTAAAAGACTATTCTGTATGTTTCCAGCTTTGGCAATATGGGCTGTAATGATAGAATACCTCACGTGTTTGTCGTAACCCGGACTACATTGTATATTTTTTTCTTTCCATGTCGGGTAGGTAGGTATTCATCATTTGTATATAGATAATGATGATTTTAATGACAGTAATTGATTGATTGATTGATTGATTTGTAATCTTTTACCAGGATAGACTATTAACCAATCAGTCGTGGTCTTTCATGGGGCCCTGAATAAACATGAACGTATTTATATAAAAAAAAGCATAACGTTTATACAGAACAGTTAAAATAAAATTCCATAGTACATTTAGAAACATATAATACAGTTATAATAGACGTGGCACAAACGAATACTCGTTTACAAAATAATTATATAATCATTAACCTAGTTCGACTGTAATGCCAATAGGAAAATATTGATTAAGTCGCAATTATGTCAATGAATCATGTTAATATTACAACACATGCATGCAGTGTATGTTCTACTGAGCTATTCACAAATTAAAACTTTGTTTAAACAATCTCTTAAATGAATTGACAGAGGAGTCGTTCTCATGAAATGATGAAGCTTATTCCATTCAAATATAGAAGAAACTCTTGGGCTAAACTTATAGAGCAACCAGCGACATATATGGGCTTACGTAAACATCCACTGAAATAATGATATGGAAGACATGAGAACGTGGAATTGAATCAAAATGATGATGATGATAATAATATAAATATTGAGAATGACACTAATGTCAATTTTACGTCGCCCCGTTAGGATACAGCTTCATCATAATTATGCATCTTTGCCATCACTACCGAGGCCATTAAACATTGATATCATCACCCAGGGATACTGTTGATCTAACATTAAACCATGTCATCCAGTGACACACCAATAGGATTGTGCGAAATCATAAGCATTAGCAGGATTGGCATAATGTGTCGCAAGGGGGTTTAGAATACTTCACGCCTTTATTGTAATTCCCGTATCGTTATTATTATTCCTTTGCTCATTGGAAAGCTAGGTGGTGATTATGATGATAATGGTAGCAATATAATATACAAAATCAATTCTTCTTGTTCTTCTTGTTCTTGTTCACGTTTTTTGGTCTTGTGCTTGTGCTTGTTTTTGTTTTTGTTTTTGATCTCATTGTCCTTTTTGTTCTTATTATTGTGCTTTATATTCTTTTTCTTTTTCTTTTTCTTCTTGTCCTTTGCGAAATCATAAGCATTAGCAGGATGAGCATAATGTGTCGCAAGGGGGTTTGGAACGCCTTTATTGTAATTCCCGTATCGTTATTATTATTCCTTTGCTCATTGGAAAGCTGGGAATTGATTATGATGATGATGGCGATTATAATGATAATAATATAATATACAAAATCCATTCAAGTTGTTCTACTTGTTCTTGCTCTCGTTTTTTGTTCTTGTTATTGTTTATGTTTGTTCTTAATATTCTTATTATTGTTGTTGTTCTTGTTGTTATTGTTCATTTTCTTCTTGTCCTTGCTCTTGTCTTTCTTCTTCTTGTTTTTCCTCTTCTTCCTTCTCTTCTTATATTTTTCAAGACCAACATTTTTCATGGAACATTGCTTCTGATATGTTATTGCACGTGAAGAAACGAAAATGAGAGTTTATTTTCCTTAAATGTCAATGTGCAATTAATTTCATTTGTCACTAATGCAACATTTAACACACCAGCAAAATAGCATTCAGAAGGTATATAGATGTAAGTTATCTTTAAAACATGCTTTAACGGCTAGTATTGATTGCAAAGAAGTATATAAATTATTGAATTTTTTCCCCCGAGTAATGTATGTATAATTATTTTTAAATAGATTTCCTGAACACACACATTAATATCTTGAACAGAAATAATCCACTTTCTGCTGCTGCAAAGTCATCCATCAATCTCTTTATTGACACAAGATTATTCTGTATTTGAGTAGGATGAAGAGACTCAAACACAGAGAATTGACATTTCGTAATGCCCCAATCACACAAACGAGAACGACATCAGATCGGGAAAAGAATTACACTGCTCCGAATGGAGTGGGGATGGGGCCTGACTCAGGTACCATACCCCATTTGACCGGTTGTAATGCTCCATAGGGAGTGAATAATGTGCACTGCAATGTGCTGAATAGTAGGTGAATCCT